AATAAACAGTGCATTGACTAGAGGTGTACGCCTAGCAAAACACATTTCATATGTTTTTTGTGTTGAAAAATCTGTTTTAAACAAAATATTATCACTTTTTTTTGTGTCCACAGTTTGCGGTTGTTTTGCGGACCAATTGTGTGATATTTATTGTGGCGGCAGCTCTTCCGGAAGCGATGATAAGTGATGTGAAACACGTGGTGTTAGTGCTGTCCGGCAAAGGAGGTGTCGGCAAGAGTACAGTCGCCGTACAGTTGGCTCTGGCCCTCACACACGGCGGCAATTATAAGGTTACCATTCATTACCACTTATCTCAAGACATTGGGTCCGCTAATACTGTCCGCTCTTTTAGGTGGGAATCTTGGATATAGATCTGTGCGGTCCGAGTGTTCCGCGAATGCTTGGTCTCGAAGGATGTGAAGTCCAGCAGACAAATGAAGGGTCAGTACTATTGGCCCAAATGCTCTGCTCTTGTATTGAGTAATGAACTGATTATATGTGTGGCCAACAGTTGGCTTCCAGTTCCGGTGCCCGCGTGTCCACAGCTGTGTGTGATGTCCATTGGATTCCTGTTGAAGGGAAAGGACAGCGCAGTCATATGGAGGGGTCCGAAGAAGAACGCTATGATTCGCCAATTCCTAACTGACGTTAATTGGGGTGAATTGGATTACCTGATCGTCGACACCCCTCCCGGCACTTCCGATGAGCACATCTCTGTGGTCGAGTGTCTCAAAGAGTTCCGCAATCCGGACGGAGCCGTTCTCGTGACTACACCGCAGGCCCTGTCCATCGGTGACGTTCGCCGAGAGATCACGTTTTGTCGCAAAGGAAATATCAATATATTAGGAGTCGTCGAGAATATGAGCGGTTATGTGTGTCCGCACTGTTCGGTAAGCGTTTCCGTGTATTGAATGCGTGAGAAAATGCCATTTGATTTAAACTTTTGTGTCTCGAAAGGATTGTACGAATATCTTCTCGACGGGTGGCGGAGAATCGTTGGCCAAATACGCCAACATTAAGTTCTTGGGCCGCATTCCGATCGACACTCAATTAGGCGAATGCACTGACGATGGCATCGATTTCATACACAATTTCAAGAACTCAGAGACCGCTCAAAGGTTTGACAGTTTGGCGAAAAATCTTTTTAATGAATAGTCAATTGAAATTGAATTATAAGTTAAAATTATCCTATTTTATACATTTTGTTAAATCAATAAAAGTATATTTTGAGTCAAATATAGTTTATATTTGTATTTTATTTAAAAAATGATTTAATCGATCGCTTTATATAAATAAAACCAATGAATTTGAGGCACAATTTGAACCTTTAAACTAAAAACAATATAATTATTGTTCGCTTATTTTAGATGCAAATCTAAGCGTATATTTGGAAATATAATGAATTATTTATTTTTTCGTATGACTGAGTGGTCTAACCATCACTACAACAAAACACCCCAATTATATCATTCAATTCCCGCTATCTATGCCCAGCATTTGTAGCTCTCATTAATCGGATTATAAACATTCCGACAATAGTAAGAGTGGCGATCCCGACGCCGGCTCTGATCCAACTGTTGGTGTCGTGCGGAAGAACGGCCTGAAGAGTACTGAAACAGAGAATATAATTATTGGTCAATACATGAGAAACGGCGACCAAATCATATGGATATATGTCTTACTCTAAATGCTGCGAAACCCATGACTGCGTGGGTCTCATGAGAAGGACGTGAACCAGACGCCGGAGGTTGGGATAGGCGGCCATCGTTCCCAACTTGACGTACACCTCCTTCAGCAGCTCCTCCTTATTGACGCTGAAATAGTGAGGCGGCGGTAGTTTGTACTTCACACAGAACTCGTCCGGTTGTAGTGTGTAGTGTTGGCGCACCGATGGCTCGTCGCTCTTCGCCGCCACCACTAGAATCGGCAGTTTTGTATTCATAAAGCATTTCTGTTCACAAAACGCAAAGTAATTAATGGGTAATTAAATTGAACACAAAAGTTGTCTAAAGAGATAATACCAAGAAATTTGTGGCAATATATTCAAAGGATTTGGGATCCGTCGAGTCGTACATCAGACACGAGACGTCACATATTAATTCGGGTTCAGTTAGTCTGTCGTTTAGCGTCAATATATCTATTTCTCGGATCTATTCATTCAAATCGATTCAACAAAAAATTAATGACAAATCTATAAATGGTTTATAAAGTACATACAATTAAATACTTTTGTTGGCCGTATATCTGAATAGTGTTGACCACATAATTAGAATAGAGACTAATCTTATTACTAAGACTTGATTTGGCTTTAGTTTGGAGTAAAGTATTCCCCAAAAATCCTTTCATGAAAGACGTCTTCCCCGCGCCTTGAGGTCCGACCAAATGGCACGAGAATACGTTACGACTCGTCTGTCGTTTCTGTAAATCAATTCTCTTATCTCTTGTCACTGAAAAGAGACAAATATTATTTAATTGACGATCAATTGTCCGTAAAATTCTACACAATAACAGTTCCGATACATACCGTAAACAGAAGATAATTGGCTCTCTTCTGGCGGCGAAATATATCCAAAATACGCCAAATATTCAAACGTTTGGCTGACATCGATGGCAGTGATAAGTCTGTCATTATGTCAGAAAATTGTTACAAAAATAAATATTTCTTAACCAAACAAAAAGGCAAATAAAACTAACGTCCAAATGGCGAGGAATCCCTGAAGAGTGACCCAACCCTTATCATTGCACTCAACAATACCGGAGATATCTTCGTCGACCCAAACGGGCAGTCGTTCGCAAACACTAAACAGATTATGTAATTCATTGGGAGAGAGGGCTCCGTCGCTATCCTTATCGTATTTAAGGAACAGTTGCTTCAGGAACTCATAGCCCTGTGACGTCAATTCGGTACTACAGCCCAACGGGACGTCCACTTTGGGCCGCAGATACTGTTCGTTGAGACACACGGCGTCGTTATAGCCGTACTTTCGGAGTACAGTCCACGTCGTCTCGTGTCGTCCGCGTTGAATGAATAGCGTGTGAAGGAATAGAAAGCCGGGAAGTGTTAGCCCGTCGTCGAAGACACCGTCCGGAACGCTTCGTTTGACGATATTCTTCACGTCGTCCAACGCTTGCGGTTGGAGTGGACTATCGAAACACCGCCGTTGGAAGCGATTCAGTTCGTGATCGTTGAGCACTCCGTCGTTATCTAAATCACATAATTTGAAGATTCGTGTCAACCCTTTCTTACAGTTCTCTGTTAACTGTAAACAAACAAAAAGTTATAAATTTGATTAAAACATTAAGGTTTAGATGAAGTGTACGAACGTCTCTATCTTCGGGTGAATAGAGAGGTGCCGTCGGGTGAAGGACTGCTTTCTGAGCGTAATAGAAGAGTTCGGATATGTTTTTCAAGCTTTTCGCTGAACACTAATACAGAGATAAGAGAATAATGTAAAGAATTTTATCATAAATTCTTTGTCACAATGTATGCAAACCTCGACACATGTCTCCACTTCATAGAACTGATTCATAATCGGAAGAACCACTTCTAGTGAACTATAATCGACTAAATCTGCTTTATTTCCGACTATTTGTATAAATGTTGATAACTGTTAGTGAAATGTCTAATCAAATGATAAGCCACTTGTTTATCACCTAATACTACAGGAGTGCTGTGCTCTTCGCCCAATTCATCGCGAATTAATGGCAACCAATAACTAGTAATCTATAAAAAACAATATTATAATTAAAATTCAGAGCTAATACTTTTAGAGCCAAACAATGCGGACCTTATCGATGGTGTCGTCGTCGTCGACAGCATAGACAACGCAAATGACATTTGCTTTACGTATCTCTTGTAGAAGAACGTCGACACTCTGTTCCTGAGCTAAGCATTTCAGATAACAGATTAAATTACATATAAATTAATACCAGTTATTAAATATCAGATAAATAATTATGTCTTATATTGAGAAGTGATTCAACTGTTACTTGAACATGGTCAAATTCCCATCTTATTCTTACAGTTATACAGTATATTTGAAATATAATATTTCAAAATAGAGTAAAAAATTAATTCTTTTTAAAGCGATTAAAGTTTTAAATTTTAATAAATTTTAGTTAAAAAACGGAATTTATTTAAAGTCACAAAAAGAGCACATGATTTCAAATGATCGACAAAGAGATTGCGAAATATTTTCAAATGATTAATCCTTTGTTAATACTATTATCTGATTATAAAAGAGATAAAGGATTAAAGAATTTAAATTTCGCTTCAAATGCCAAACAATTATATGCATTCTTAAGCGTATTGAGCGCAAAGGTTTGCACATTTTTAATACATGCCCACTATTGGGCAATTGTTATGCAAATTATACAATAATTAGTAATAATAATCATCAGATTTATAACTACATAATGAGTGAATTAATCTCAGCGCTGAATCCCTATCTCTTAGGGCACGTGTAGTCTAATAAATAAATAGATTTGAAACGAGATAATTGTGTTTAAACAACGACATCAAAAGCAAATATTATAATTAAAAATAACAGCAATTAGTGATAAGTCGACAAACAATTAAATAAAATATTTTTCTGTAAAGATAAGGATAAAGTGTTTGGGATTTAAACGATAAGTGTTTTTCTGATGCAATCAATAGTTATTTTACAAACCAATAAATCAATCAATTAATCAATCCATTTATTGCAGTCAATTAATCATCAATTAATTTACGATTATTTGCACAACAATTTGCATTCATTTTAATAATTAATTACTAGTTTTAGGATAACATATAGACGACAATCAAAAGGCAATTAACACATGATTTACACAACAATATAAATGCAAAACAAATACCGGAATAATCGACGATTTGAGTGGAGATGCGTTCGGGGGTCACGTCAGCCGGTATTGTGATCTCTTCGGCTTTTGCGGGCACTTCTTCGGGGAACTCTTCGCTCACCAGCGAGAAGATGAGTGATGTCTTCCCGACACCGGCTATACGTCACGACAGAAAACAAATCAATTAAACCACACATAAAAGTGGTCAACTCGGAGACTCATCAGCAGATAACGAGCAAACCATACATACATTGTCCCACTAATAGTATTCGACAGCATTTCTTCCCGTTTTCGTTAACCATTTCGGTGTCCAAACCTAACCGTTCATCTGATCCGAGCGCTCGGCCGACACTTCTCTCTCCTATTGCCTCCGCAGATGTCTTAAGGGGCGGACCTATTGTTGTCGTTGCGGCGATTGATCGTCAAACTTGATTGACATTCATATGTCACGCGTGAACCACAACCTGATAATCACATGAAGAATAAACACGTCTTCAGATACACGCAGAAAGAGTGGACACCAGAGGTATGTATTGATAATAACGAGTAATTTGAGCACAAAATCAGTTAATCAATGGCTAAATGGCAATGAGTTATGACTCGAGACATACATCTAATCACTAATTATGGGATCAAATGATAATTAAAAGCCAAACACAAGCCGTAAATCAATTCAATAATTGTTATTATTGTTTAAAAATTGGGATAAAAAGTGATTTCATTTTAAACACCGATATTTCAGTTGAGTTTTTCAATGGGTTTTCAATGGTTTTCATGTGTTTTCTGGCATTTGTGGCCAAACTGTGAACCAAATGCTGACATCTATTGAGTGGTTTAGTCACTCACTCTCTATATAACGGCATTTCTCCATAGCGTGAGTGCTTTTCGTGAGGCACTCGTTGTTATAAGACTAGAGCCCAGCGTTTGTCGGGTCTCACATCGCTTGCGCCGCCCGGAGCTGTCGACTCCCTCTCCCCTAATAGAGATCGACACCGGAATTGTGTCACACATTGATTCCTATGGCACAGAATAACAGGAACACTGAGACTATGCTATACTGTCTATGCCTTTGGATAACTCGTACTGTTATTGCCATACATTATATGCCTCTTCAATGACACTCTTCTACACCACATATACGGAGGAAAATCTCAATCTTTTTATAACTTTTATTGATTTTAATGGCAACACAATTGCTACACATTTTTGCCCATATATTTTATGCATGCATTCATATTATACATACAATTATCTGCCTCTCTATGTGTGCATATGTTTTTCCTACAGAATATTCTGTTATGAGCTAAACATTTATTTGTAATTACAATTGTGTTGTATATTTAGGCGAGAGGTTTGTTTGAGTTTTTGGTAGTTTTAATTCATAAACTATACATATTCTGTGTGCCAATCGTTAATACAATATCCATATATCAATATTTATATACATTTTTACTTTAAACATAAATACATTAGGACTAAGAATTTAAGTAAAAGTTTTTGATATATTTATCGATTATTATTTTTGACAAAATTTTTTTGTTGTGTATTATTATATATATAAAATTTATTACATTTTAAAAGACGATTGCAATCGATTGAAAAATGAAATGAAAGTTTTTGCCTTCAAAAAAATAAGTATACAAATAAAGCATAAGTATATATCAAGCGCTAAATTTGGGATCATTTTTTCAAAAACAGGTCTTAACTCATATCAGAAAATAAGTTATTCCGTAAGAATAGCGGAACAAGAATTTTATCACTCGTTTCGTTGCAAATTGTATCAAATATTCTGTAGTCTATTATTTTTGTGATTATTATTATTATTTTTATGAATTTGAAATTTATTTTTATAAAAGTTATGCTCGTTTCCTCTAATTATAGCAATTAATTTGTTTTGACATTAATTTATTAATAACATCATATCATTTAAAGAATAATTATTTTTTGCCATATATCTAACAATTTATATACCATTTAATAAGATGTATTGTTTTGCATTTTGCTATTTTTAAATTTTAAATTGAATATTTGGTTTAAATATTTAGTTTCAATATTCTTTTATCATATTTTAGAGATCAGACAAATTATTCTGGAATTTCATTTAATTATATTATATTCAATATCAATAGGCATAATATTCTGTTGCTATATATTACATGTATTAATATCTATTTTAACGTCTAATAATATCTATTTTATAATTCAAATTCTTTATAATTATATTTTTAACATTTAAATGAAGTTAAATGAATAAACAATTTATTTGTTGAAAAGTCATAGCTTTTAACATAAATATATTAACAGATTTATAAATAATTCAAGAATAATTCATATATTCAATCGATTATATATACAGGGCTTGAAATCAATAAGTGATGTCTGAAATAGTGTTTACAAATGAAATCTTAATTGCATTTAAACTCATAAAATTAACTCATTTGTAAAGTTTGACTCGTTTTTGTCAGTGTAAACAATACAATGCATTGACAAATAATTTATAGCGGGATTCATGCGATTCTGGATTTGAAAAATTGAAAACAAAGTAAATAGTGAGCCATAGAATTGGTTGCCAAATATACTACTTTTTTGATCGTAATGAAAGTAACAGAGACTTCAAGGTCTGATTAATTGTGCCAAACATTGTAGCGATCACTATATATACGGTAGAGTACACGGCATATATGCTGTGTGTTTGCAAAATCCATATTATGTGCCACACTATGCCTAAAATAGATGATTAAAATGCCTTTTATTTAATTATGGAGATATTAGTGTTGCTAATTATTAGACGATTGCTATCCATAACTATTAATATAAACCTATTTATTATTATTTTTTGCTATTCAAAACACTTTCCTCATTATTATTAGTAATTATTCTGTAATTATGAAAACCGGTAATCAATATAGGAATCGCTCGATAAAGTGACCGAAAAATGAGATAATGATTGAATTTCTATAATTAGTGAACCTATTTATACCATTAATATTAATATGATTGAGAAGAATGTTAAGTAGATTAAGGTTATGTTAAGGTTTCGTCCAAATCTTATTTGTAAAAAATATTTAAGAAAATGATTGCATCGATCGGTAATATAAGACTTTGTATACTATGAAAGTCGAGCAAAATTGACGTCAAACTGACGCAAACACGAGAGAGAGAGAGAGAGAGAGAGAGAGAGAGAGGCATAGAATAAATCGGTATATAGAGAACATAACAGATATACTGTCTGAATATATGCCTACGAGATATACACACACAGAATATATAGTGTTGTACAACAGAATATATACAGTACCGAATGTATGGCCATATATATAAGACGATAGATCTTTGTAGATATAAACAGAGGGAATATTTTGGCTCAAACCTAATAGTGAAGAATACAGTATACCTTATGTACAACTCGTTTATATATAGCGTTTGGTTTGATATAAGAAGCACAACAGTCGGCAGAGTAGGCATATTCTTAAGCCATCAATACTACAATCAGACCTCAATTATACTTTACTTTGCAATGGTTTTTTGCGGACAGTCGGGTGTCCGGAGAGCCGGAAACTTACGGATACACTGGTGAGGAATAGTATGGAGAGAATAACTAATGAATTAAGCAAATTCTGTACACTTTATAAGGTGTTAGGAGTGTTGGCCTACATTTGTAGAGAAAATAGTTCCGTTCGTAGGAATTGAGAGACGGGAGAGAGAGAGAGAGAGAGAGAGAGAGAGAGAGGCATAGAATAAATCGGTATATAGAGAACATAACAGATATACTGTCTGAATATATGCCTACGAGATATACACACACAGAATATATAGTGTTGTACTCACATTATTTTCTACTTTTGTATTTGTATTTTTCTACGAATGCATTGCTTTACTCATCCATCAAAAGTTATACAACAGAATTAGTGTACAATTTGTTTAATAAGTTTGTCCATTAATAGTAAATATAAATATATATATAAATAAATTATTTCAACACAAGCCATCAAAAATCTAGTGATAGGTAAGTCCAAAGTTAAAGCATATTTTTATATGTCATATATATTTTTCTGTCAATATTTTCATATATTTTTAAATAAATTTATTGAATGTTCTGCATATAGAGTGTAAGTGAAGAGTTAGTGAGTGAGTGAGTGAGAGAGGCTATAAAGGCTGTGATGAGGCGTTGTATGGGTTTGTGTATTGAATAAAAGCGCAACTCTAAAGGCATATCTGGTATATATAACTGGTATCAGTTCTCAACACATACACAGCTTATGTGGTGTTTCACTACGAATGTGGTTCTGCGCTGCGCTTCCTTGTTATCACATCCCTTACTATCACTTCAATTGTTCACCAATTCTTATATCAATATTCTAGTCGTATATTAACTATAATATAATATTAATAATAAAACAATAATAATAACAAACAATATATCGCTTGAAATTTTTTGGTCAAATCTATTTATTATAATAAAAATCACAACAGAATCCTAATTATTTTTCTCTCGTCAACGCATACAAACAACTTTTAATCTCTTTAAAAACTCTTCACATTATTTTCTACTTTTGTATTTGTATTTTTCTACGAATGCATTGCTTTACTCATCCATCAAAAGTTATACAACAGAATTAGTGTACAATTTGTTTAATAAGTTTGTCCATTAATAGTAAATATATAAATAAATTATTTCAACACAAGCCATCAAAAATCTAGTGATAGGTAAGTCCAAAGTTAAAGCATATTTTTTTATGTTATATATATTTTTCTTTCTATATTTTCATATATTTTTAAATAAATTTATTGAATGTTCTGCATATAGAGTGTAAGTGGAGAGAGAGTTTGAGAGAAACTTTGAGTCTTTTAATTAGGTTTGGACACCGAAATGGTTAACGAAAACGGGAAGAAATGCTGTCGAATACTATTAGTGGGACAATGTATGTATGGTTTGCTCGTTATCTGCTGATGAGTCTCCGAGTTGACCACTTTTATGTGTTGTTTAATTGACTTGTTTTGTATCGCGACGTATAGCCGGTGTGGGGAAGACATCACTCATCTTCTCGCTGGTGAGCGAAGAGTTTCCCGAAGAAGTGCCCGCAAAGGCCGAAGAGATCACAATACCGGCTGACGTGACCCCCGAACGCATCTCCACTCAAATCGTCGATTATTCCGGTATTTGTTTTTGCATTTATATTGTTGTGTAAATCATGTGTTAATTGCCTTTTGATTGTCGTCTATATGTTATCCTAAAACTAGTAATCAATTATTAAAATGAATGCAAATTGTTGTGCAAATAATCGTAAATTAATTGATGATTAATTGACTGCAATAAATGGATTGATTAATTGATTGATTTATTGGTTTGCAAAATAACTAGTGATTGCATCAGAAAAACACTTATCGTTTAAATCCCAAACACTTTATCCTTATCTTTACAGAAAATATTTTATTTAATTGTTTGTCGACTTATCACTAATTGCTGTTATTTTTAATTATAATATTTGCTTTTGATTTCGTTGTCTAAACACGATTATCTCGTTTCAAATCTATTTATTTATTAGACTACACGTGACCTAAGAGATAGGGATTCAGCGCTGAGATTAATTCATTCATTATGTAGTTATAAATCTAATGATTATTATTACTAATTATTGTATAATTTGCATAACAATTGCCTAATAGTAAGCTTGTATTAAAAATGTGCAAACCTTTGCACTCAATACGCTTAAGAATGCAAATAATTGTTTGGCATTTACAGCGAAATTTAAATTCTTTAATCCTTTATCTCTTCTATAATCAGATAATAGTATTACCAAAGGATTAATCATTTGAAAATATTTCGCAATCTCTTTGTCGATCATTTGAAATCATGTGCTCTTTTTGTGACTTTAAATAAATTTTGCTTTTTAACTAAAATTTATTAAAATTTAAAACTTTAATCGCTTTAAAAAGAATTAAATTTTTACTCTATTTTGGAATATTATATTTCAAATATATAACTGTAAGAATAAACCATGGTGGGAATTTGACCATGTTTAATTAACAGTTAAATCACTTCTCAATATAAGACATAATAATTATTTGTCTAATATTTCATAACTGGTATTAATTTATATGTAATTTAATCTGTTATCTGAAATGTTTAGCTCAGGAACAGAGTGTTGACGTTCTTCTACAAGAGATACGTAAAGCAAATGTCATTTGCGTTGTCTATGCTGTCGATGACGACGACACCATCGATAAGGTCCGCATTGTTTGGCTCTAAAAGTATTAACTCTGAGTTTTATTTATAATATTGTTTTTTAAAAATAGATTACTAGTTATTGGTTGCCATTAATTCGCGATGAATTGGGCGAAGAGCACAGCACTCCTGTAGTATTAGGTGATAAACAATTGGCTTATCATTTGATTAGACATTTCACTAACAGTTATCAACATTTATACAAATAGTCGGAAATAAAGCAGATTTAGTCGATTATAGTTCACTAGAAGTGGTTCTTCCGATTATGAATCAGTTCTAT